TAAAAACCTCACTTCTTCGGATGCATCCGAAGAAGTGAGGTTTTTACTCACGAAAGCTTATGCCCAAATAAATCTGTTAGTCTTTAAGGTGCCACCAGACTCCTTGTTGTTTTTGTATGATATTGCCTATTATTATGTTACTTATATAGAACTTTATAGCCAAGTTCCTGCCCCAGGGAACTATTCCAGGGACTACTGTCCTGATCGCATTATTCACTTTTATTTTTAAAACACTGAACATCTCTTATTTCACTAGCCACAGCATTTCCACTAGAGTGCCATGGAATCCAGGGATCTGGCTCAGAATTCACGTCGACCTTACCACGGTGTACAGAGGGATCCATGCAGATGGCTCAGGGAGGAGAAAATGAGACTCATTTATTCAAACTGATTTGTTAGCTGTAAATGTCACTTTCCTTAAAGAATCTTTTTAAGCTTGTTTCCTTTTACATTCAGTGAGAAATGTCTCCACATCCCCACTATGGAGTGTGAAAAGAGACCTCAATTAGGGCCAGATTCTGACAGCCTGGCTCACATTGAGTATTACTTTTAGAACAGTCCCAATGATTTCAATAGGACTGTTTCAGGAGTAGGGCCCTGTTCAGGACAAGTAAATCAGAATCTGCCCTCATTGCAAATGTAATAGCACAGATATCAGTGCTTTCAGGCACCCAAATCCAGCTACCCCAGGACACATGATGAGGATGTTTGCATAGCTATGTTTATTTTGCATATCCATGCATGAGTGGCATTTCCCTGTAGCTCAGAGGAGTTATAACTGCTCTATGTCACAGATCATGGTGCATTGAGCAGCAGCTGTCAGTCCAGAGCTCTCAAGATGAGGTCACACACTCTGCTCATCTCTGTGCTAGTTTTCTTTGTGAAGGGTAAGTGCATTGGATTAGAATTTTAGAAAAATAGAGAATAAGCTATGGACTCGAGTATCATCAAAACAAAAGTGAGGAATGATTTGTCAAATAGATGCCAATTCTTGTATATATGCGCCATATGCTTTATCTACATAAAGAACAGAACTGAAAGGGTTTCATGTTAAATAAAATCTTGGTTAATAACAATGCTATGGCAATGTAAATCCTTACACTATGAGGTACTACTATAGACACACCTGGATTTATGTTTTGATTTCACACACAGATGCCAGTGGAGACATTGTGCTGACTCAGACTCCAGAATCCCTGTTGGTGTCTCCAGGAGACAGAGTCACCATCAACTGCAAAGCCAGCACAAGCATCAGCAGCTACATAGCCTGGTACCAACAGAAATCAGGACAAGCCCCTAAGCTCCTGTTCTATGGTACTTCCTCCCGTCCCTCTGGGGTCCCAGACCGGTTCACTGGCAGTGGGTCTGGCACTGATTTCACTTTGACAATCACTAGTTTTCAAGCTGATGATGCTGGCAGTTATTATTGTCAACAGTACTATGACTGGCCTCTCACACAGTGATTCATGCCAGTACAATAACCTCCCTCAGTGCTGGTTCATTACTTCTATTGCAACTCTGTGTTTCAGTTACTCTGTCAGAGTCTTTCCAGTTTTCACTGCCCATCAGTGTAGAACAACATGAAACACATTGACTTATACATAAATTATTACACAATATACCAATTTTGCTTAATAGAATTTAGATAGATCAGGTTAGAAAGCATCTCCGTAAACCAGGAGACTCCAGGTTGGAGGTTTTGGAAACATTCTACATTTTGTTCCATTTATGGTAAACACCACATCAGAAATTGGTCTAATGCATAAGTTAGAAACTTCTGCAGAAATGTGGAAACTGGTAACCACTGAGTTGACTTCCTTCCAGTTTAGAAATATAGTCTTGTCTCACCCCAAAATTACTGACAAAAATGAAGACGGCAGGTCCCTTGCTTTCTATCTAATCTGTCTGTCCATCCATGCATCCACCCATCCTCTGAAGGCTTTCTGGGGCACGTATTGCCAGGGTTTCTAAGCGTATACTATCCTACCTATGCCATTAAAGCTGTACGAGGTAGGGAAAACAAAAAATTGTGATCGCTTATAGGTGGCATCAAACATGGGCTTAGGAAATCCTGCACCATTTTAGCAGCACTCATCTGGGATCTATTCTTCTAGATGCTGATGGGATGTTTTGAGACCCCCTTGGGTCTCTGGGGGAGCTGGCAGGTAATACTGAGAGTTCGGAAGGGGATGATAGAGTCTTTGACTACTGTTTGTGTTCCTAATTTTTGTGTGCATCTAAACTATTATTGGCAAATAATAATAAAAAAAAATAGGCCCAGTTCCCCTCCCTCATGTGCAGTTTATTATCTAAGTTAATGAAGATGTCATTTTAAAAGCTAAGCAAGTAATTAAAAACAAACAGCTGCATATACTCCCAATAACAATTCAAATAATACTAATTAAAAGCAACCTTAACTACCTCGTAATTAACAGCTCCAATGTAACACAGCAAAATCCAAAAACTTGTAAAAAACTTTATTACTATTAAAAAAAAAGTATTGCCATAAAACTTTGGGTTCATTCTGCATCAACATCAAAGCTTCAGACGCCTTCAACAAAGGCTCAGCTCCCCTCCCTTCTGTGCAGTTTCAGCTGGCCACTGAAACTGACCAAGCAACACTAAAAACTGGTAACTACACCTCTACCCCAATATAACGCGACCCGATATAACACGAATTCGGATATAATGTGGTAAAGCAGTGCTCCGGGGGGGTGGGGGGGGGTCTGTGCACTCCAGCGGATCAAAGCAAGTTCGATATAACGTGATTTCACCTATAATTCGGTAAGATTTTTTGGCTCCTGAGGACAGCGTTATATCAGGGTAGAGGTGTATAAAATCCATCTGCAAAATCTTTTAGTATATGTATGTATGCATGCATGTAAATAAAAGCATATGCTAATTTCAATACTTAAATTATACTCTCAATAAACGCGACGTATTGCCGTATCCCCTTTAAAAAACGTCCGTGTGCTTCTTATAAGCATAACAAGGTGTGGGGCATTTTTTTTGAAATATTTACCCTCCCCTCACAATTGTCCCTCACCCTTAGCACTAGAGAATCCTGCCCAGCTGCTCTCAGGCTCCCTACATGAGAGAGAAGAACCTGCCTTCTTCAGCCCTGTAGAAGGAGGGAAGGATGGCCCAATGGTTAAGGCACTGTGCAGGATGTGGGAGACCCAGATTCAATTCCCTGCTCTGCCATGGACTTCCTGTGTGATCTTGGGTAAGTCACCTAGCCTCTCCATGCCTCACTCTCCCAGCTGTAAAACAGGGATGAGAATAATGCTCCCCTACCACACAGGGGTGTTGTGAGGACAAACAGATAAAAGATTGCAAAGTGCTTTGAGATCTACGGATGGAAAGGGCTGAATAAGAAATAGGCATTATTATTAGAGGGCAAGATTGGACCCAAAGCTTAATCGCTCAGGCCTTGAATTCTGGGCAGCAGAGAGGCGCTCAGTATTCCTTGTGCACAGGAAGGCAACGAATTACAAAAAAAAAAACCCACCCCAAAATCCCCACCAGCATTCCACAGCGTAACTATTTGGTTGTTACAAATTAAACGTTTGCCAGCGGGAATTTAGATTTATTGGCAATCTTATCCGAGTCTCTCCACATCGTTTTGATTTACGGGCCTGAGGCAAATCCTACTGAAGTCAGTGGAGACCCCCACAGACTTCAGTGGGCTTTGTATCAGGCCCTAAATTTCTACATCTAGCAACCGTTACAGTTGCTTTGTAAGCAGGGGACTAATCTGAAGTCATTTGTCAGGACATGAGGAGAACAATGCAGCTGCCTCAGGCTGGGGGGGTGCAGGAAATTTGGCTGCACACAGAGAGCTGGGATTTTCAAAGGACACGTTTTTGTGCCATTCGGCTACACTTGGCATTCCCTCTCTCTCTAATTCTCTTTCGCACACACCCTTTTGACCCACGTGTCCCTTCTTCCAGTGCACACATTGCTCTTTTCAAAACCAGCCCTAGGGAACTGATGAGTCGAGAGCTTTGCTCAAGAGTTTGTCCTCAGAGGCAGAATGGTTCCAAAAGCCTCCACTCAGCCACCACAGCTCTAAGTCTTCTCCTTCAGACCACTGAGAAACTCACTGAGGGGATGTCAGACAGCTCTCCTCCTCTCAGGCCATAGAGTGGCAGCAAATAAGCTCTGTGGTGTCTACACCAGCCTCTGGGTTAGTGCAAAGTCTGTGGTCTTAATATCCCCACTACATGGTGGGCAATGACTGGTGGATCCACGCCGGCTCTCTCCAGAGCCACTAACACACAGAGTTCCTGCAGCATTTCTCCCTCCACAGTGCATGGGGCTATGTATCCCGAGATTCTCCTGTCCCAGAGCAGCAGAGCCGTGGGCGGGAAGCCCTGAGTCTTGGCAGTAGGGTGACCAGATGATAACTGGAAAATATCGGGACCGCCGCAGGGGGAGCGCCTTTTCAATTGTTACACTCACCCATCCGGGTCTTCGGCGGCACTCCGGCAGAGGGTCCTTCAGTTGCTGATGGTCTTTGGCGGTGGGTAATAAACTTTGCTGCCAAAGAAAGAAGTACCCGCCGCCAAAATGGGTGAGTGTAACAATTGAAAAGGCGCTCCCCCCCGCGGCAGTCCCGATATTTTCCTAAGCAAAGCCTAAGCAAAAAGAAATGGGGGGGGGAGCCACGCCCGAAACAAAATATTGGGACAAATGGCGTCCCGACCGTACTTCAGTCGGGACGCAGGACAAACTGCTCGATATCGGGACAGTCCCGATTTTATCGGAACATCTGGTCACTCTACTTGGCAGCCGCCTGCAGGGCTTGAGCTGCGAGTGCCGGCTCACCTCACTGTAGGGGGAAACCCTGAGTCTCGGCACCTCCACCAGCACCCGGACGGGTGAGTTAAATGTATGTGGCCCATGAATTTTCCTGAGGGTCAATGGCCCGGGATAGAAAAAAGGTTCCCCACCTCCGGTGTAGGGGATGGCAGGATTTGTTTTTCAATGAAAAGCTGTGCAAACAATGGATCCGAAGCGCCAGCCTCCATGTGACTAGCCAGGTAAGCCAGAAAGGGAGCCGCCCTTGGATATGTGCACAGGAGGCGTAGGCTGTGCAGGGAGCATTCTCCATGTGCAGGGACTGCTCGCCCCATCCAGCCCCAGGAGTGCTGAGGGGATGACACACCGGGGCAGTTATCTGCTTCATTATAAAGCATGGAGGAAAGAGCGTCCCCTCTAGATGCACTGGGCAGCCCCACCACAGGCTCCCTCTCAAGGCTCCTGCAGGCGCTGTGTGGCTCCACATCGCCCCCTACAGAGGATGCACAACCCAGCCCTGGCTGTATATCAGATGTCTGTATTTATATTCAAACGTGTTCTTAAATCTCTGTATACATTGTATTGTATTGCATTGCATTGCATTGCATTCAATACTCTGCACAGCACACTCAAACTAATGGAGCTGAACCTCTCCCAGTAACAGCAGGTGGCAGAACTGATGCGTATCACCCTGAACACACTGCAGATGCTAAAATTCTGATTAGGATCAGTGCTTTGTAATAAGTGACAGCAATCAAAATGATAGAACTTCTGAAATTATGCAAACCAATCGGATCTCCATTTCTAGGCTCTGAGCCTGACACACGGGGCCTGAGGCGAGATGCTTTGCATATTTACATCTAATTCATTTCCCTGCTGCTCTGAGCAGTTATATATGGAGTCACTTTTTACAGTTTCTATTGGTTTATTGATCAGCTCCAGTCGACCCAGACGTAGCAAGATGATCTCCCAGGCTCAGCTCATCTGGCTGTTAGTGCTCTGGATCCAGGGTAAGAATCAAACGGAGATAACACTGACTTTGTTGGAGAGATCAAGCCCTAGACATCTCCCAGTCATATATATATATATATATATATATATATATATATATATATATATACACACACACAATATACTGCTCAATCTCAAATTTAGGATAAAAAGTTTAAAATATGACGCAAATGTAACAAGTGATTTACTGACTTACTCATTGTGTTAATTTATATTATATTTTATGTTCAGGCTCCAGTGGGCAGATTGTGCTGACTCAGACTCCAGAATCCCTGGCAGTGTCTCCAGGAGACAGAGTCACCATCAACTGCAAAGCCAGCTCCAGCACAGGCAACCATTTAACCTGGTACCAACAGAAATCGGGACAAGCTCCTAAGCTTCTTATTTATTATGGCTCTACCCTCGCCTCTGGAGTCCCAGCCCGGTTTAGTGGCAGTCAGTCTGGGAGCGGCTACACTGATTACACTCTCACCATCAGCAGTGCTGAAATTGAAGATGCAGGAGATTATTACTGTCAGCAGGGTTATAGCTCCCCTCTCACAGTGATACAGACCCGTACAAAAACCTCCCTGCCCTGTGTGGTTTCAGTTTCTCTCCTGTAACAGATGCTTCCTAGAGATAACAACAGTTTGGACATAACCGCTATGTT